TCTGTAACTCGGGGACTGCTTGAATACCTGTTTCAGAGAAAACGAATCACCCTTGGGAAATAATGGTAGATTTAATACAAATACCTGTTCGCACTTACATGGGAGCAGTGCCAATGAGCTTAGTGGGGGTTACTTCTGAGTACATATATAGAATTATGCTGTTGGTTATTTTCCATTTATACCCTTGTAATCTTCCATTTATACCCTTGTAAAAAGAGTTCATTGATAACTGGGACATTGATTTCTGCATGAACGTTTTTCCTTCCCCCAGACATTGCTTGCTAAAATCATAGTTGTTACCCAAAGCAGGTGTCTTGTTTTTGAAATTTGTGAAAGCAGTCAAGTATTAATCATAAATTAGGCAAGAAATTGAGTTATCAAGAAAAGATAGGACTTATTGCCCTACGTTCTCCTGTAATGCCTCACTGTGATCCAAAGTAATGATGTACATGTGCTATTCTTCAGACTCCACCAGGTTTTGTAATTTTTCTAGAAATGTCACAATCAGATTGAATTGGACGTTGATACAATTATCTAGAAAACAAAACAATTTCTTTTGGACAGATTCTGAGACCAGCAAATTTGCATATGGGTTTGAAGATTGAAAACTTTGTGCCTCACATTGAATTGCCAAATGGCAGTACATTTTCTTTCTTTTTTATATTAGATTATATATTCAGTCATATATTATTTTGAGAAGGGATTGCATCTGCCATTTTTTTTCTCAAATTGATTTTCTATTTAATATTTTGAGGGAACTATTGATACCCTCTAATCTTTTTATAGAACTAGAAGACAGTTGGAGAGATAGTTGGTGCTTCCGAGGAATCTTATTACCATGTATCTGTTTTTGCAGGCTGGTAATTTGGAGGGATTTTAATTAAAAGCCCCACTTCCATCTCTCCAAATCAATAAGATTTGCTTTGGGGTTTGACTATATCCAAAGCTTTCTCATACTTAGTTTGGTTTTCATTATGTGTACACTGCATAGGAAGTTAAATCTTAAATGTGAAGATCAATCATATTTCAGGTTTTATTGTGCCAGGTGCAAATTGAATGCTTTTTGGGGTAAAAAAATATGCGGGAGTCTCACCTTGGTCAAGATCTTTCTAGATTGGTGTGTTTACAAATTGAAAGAGTTCAACCAGTCTCACTTTGTACTTTAAGACCATTGTCGAGAGAATGTAAATGTTCTAAATAGCTAATCTTTTTTTTATTAAACTTGTTCAAGATCAGTTTAAAGGTGGAAAATTAGGAGGATACCAGTCAAAGCGATGTTTGGACCCCAAGGAGTTAATAGAGTTGCTACAGTCCTGCGACTATGACAGGTATGATTCAATCATAGTGGTAGAAATTATTTAGTATAAGAAAAGCCTAAGGATTGAATAAGTTTGGCAGACTTTAGTAAAGTCTCTGGCTGCCAGTCCACTTCTGAGCACAATTCAAAGTCCTGATCTTGACCTATAAAGCCCTAAACGGTTCCGGCCTAGTTTACTTGTCCGAACGTATCTCCCTCTATGATTCACCTCAGAGTTTACGATTGTCGGGGAGGCCCTGCTCTCGATCCCGCCACTTTCACAAGCGTGGATTGGCGGGGATGAGAGACAGGGCCTTCTTGGTGGTGCCCCCTCCGTCTGTGGAATGCATTCCCAGTGAAATCAGGGTGACTCCTTCTCTCCTCTCCTTCAGGAAGAAACTCAAGTCTTGGCTTTGGGACCAAGCATTCGGGCAGCTGGCAGAGCAACAACTAATGACTCGTGGGAATTGTCAATTAAGAGACTTTGGACTGGAACTCTGGAGTATGATTTGGCTTTGCGGACTCAGACTTGATTGAGTTAATATTTTAAGGACCAATATATTAATGCATTTTTATTGCTGTTGACTTGTTTATGTGAATTGTTGTGTTCTAACCGTTTCTTTGTCAGCATCTAATGACTGTCAATTGTAAGCCGTCCTGAGTCCCCCTTCGGGGATTGAGAAGGACGGGATACAAATGCTCCAAATAAATAGAGGGGGGGGGGGTTGTGAGTAAGTAGACTCAAAGGGCAATAATACTTTTTGAACACCATGAAATAATCTGAGTATATGAAAGTATTTTAAACTAATTGACTATCATTTCTTTTACAGAGAAATAAAAGGATCAAGAGAAGGAGTAATAACTGACAAAGATTTAGAGTTATTGTTGGACAGAACTGACCTTACAAGTAAGCAAAAATGTCATCTCTGTGCTTTTGCTATTTTGTTGTTCCAGTAGCCAAGGCTAACGCTAGGAGAAGATTATAGTCTGCCCTCAACTTTTGGGGTTTTTCTTTTGTCGATTTGATAATTTGTGCATTTGTATCTGTGTCCTCCATTTGCTGGCTCTACCTGCTGTCTCGGAGACAAAAGGAGTCTCTGTCCCCTTTCTTTGTGCCTTTCTTGGTGATGGTAGGACTCTGTCCTATTCCATGATCAAGAGATGAAGCCTGCCAGGAAGGAGTACACCCCTCTCTTTGCCTCTTCTTTGTCCAAGAGAGGAGCACATGCCTGTGCGAGGGGAGAAACCCAGAAGCAGCTCAGGTCTAAATAGTAAGCGACATCTAATCCACAGAGGAGTCAGCATGGAGGCTCAGAGGAGCAAGAAAGAGCCAGGTTAAGTTGACGGACTAGAGCAGGTGCCCTTCTCCGCATCATGCCAGACCCAGTGATTTTGTGTTCCTTGTATTATTTGTTAGCCTTTATGTCAGGAGTCCCCAACAAAGGCCTGCGGGCCAGATGCGGTCCTCCAAGGCCCTTTCCTCGGCCCCCGCCTTAAACTTTAAGGGTCGTCCTAAGTCTGAAACAACTTGAAGGCCCACAACAACAACAATCCTAATTTGCTATACTATCTCATCAGCCAAAAGCAGGCCCACATTTCCCATTGAAATACTGGTATGTTTATGCTGGTTAAAATTGTTCTTCATTTTAAATATTGTATTGTTCTTTCATGTTTTTCATGTTTTGTTTTGTTTTTTAGCACTACAAATAAGACATGTGCCATGTGAATAGGAATTCTTTCATGTATTTTTCAAACTATAGCCCCCACCCCCACCAAAAAAAAAAACAGTTTAAGGAACCATGAGCTGGCCCTTTGCTTCCAAAATTTGAGGACCCCTGCTTTATGTACTTGCTTGAATGGGGCTGAGTTGAAAGTTTTTCATTTTGAGATTCAGGGTTTCTTGAGCATGTCCTCTTGTTTTAAGAACAAAAAGTTAATGAGATTTGAGGTGAAACCTCTTTGTCTTTTGAATTGTTTGTTCTTCCTTTTTTCTTCTAGCCCAAATAAAAAACCCCGAAGGACATAATGGAAAAATGGGATTCTTCAGGGTAGTAGAAACTGCTGAGGACGGTAACTCAGATGTTGTGCTTTGAAGCTTTGAAGTATAGACAATTTGCACTCCTGTGCCTCTGCAAACCTGTAGATTGACACTGCCAGAGGAGTTATTTTATGAGAGACTTGATATCAAGATCACTAGATTTGCATTATGTACAAAAAAGAAAAGTTTTGGATTCACTTGTTGATGGTTGAAACATTTTCAATCAATTATTTAGACTTCAATAGCTTGTAGCTCAGAAAAAGCTATACTGTGTAATTTGACATTTTGTAATCTAAATAAAGTTTGTTTTTATTAGATTTGAAATGTGTGCTTTGTCTTAACAGAAAAACCTGACATGCTGCACTGTTCCAGCCCCACAGATTGACCTGTGTCATTGAACCATTACAGAAAATTGTCTTCCCCAATTTGAATACATGAACACCTCCATGCCATAAAATTATTTTTGCAAAAATAATTTTAATTATTATCAGCAATAGCAGAAGTAAAAAACCACTTGTTTCTCATCCACGTGTGTTAAAAGGGGCAATAAAATTAAGGCAGGCAAAAAATTAGGACCCTTTTGCAGCTTGTTTTAATTTTGGGAAACAGATTTCCAGCAGATCTGGGTGCGAGTGCATAGATATGTATTTGACATTAATCTAAAAACAAAAAATCTAATCCTATTTACTAACTGAAGGACGGAGAGAAAAGATGTGTCCACAGATCCAAAAAGGATTCTGCTCCAGACTACAGATTTATGTCAGTGTTTTTCAACCTGTGGGTTCCCAAATGTTTTGGTCTTCAACACCCAGAAATCCTAATAGCTGATAAACTGGCTCGGATTTCTGGGAGTTGTAGGCCAAAACACCTGGGGACCCACAGGTTGAGAACCACTTCTCTATGGTATATTTTCTGGAAATGTTGAAGTCATTGGACACACCATCATCCCAAGTAACAAACAAATTTTATTGACATGTTTTTAGATACGCAATATGCAATACTTGCTTTTGGAGAACCTCTCACAAAAAATGGGTCACATATGACTTGGTTTTAATATATTTAAAAGTTAGCACATTCAAATCTATTAAATTTAAAGTTAATTTATTCCTGTATTAGGAAAATTACTTAAAAAATAAAGTCCACTTACTACTAATAATGTTTAGACTCATAACTTTTGTGTTACTCATTGTATTGCTTTTGGTGCTTTTCATTGCTTTTTGGGGGGTTTTAAGTCAGTGTTGGTATCAGAACAGTATTTTTGAAATGCTGGTCAAAATGTATTTAAAAACTGCAAACAAAACGGGGATTTTATTTTAAAAATAAAAAATACTAGCAATTTTGCTCCCAGAAATCCCATTTTACCAGCTGTTACGATTTCTGAGAGTTGTAGGTCAAAACACCTGGGGACCCACAGGTTGAGAACCGCTGATACAGAGAAAACTAATGTTTGTACCCTATGTGTCAGCTCCTAGCAATTAACCAGTACTCACTCTACAGATGGACATAGCCAGCTTTGTTACTACACTCACAAGAAGAAAACGACACTAATTTTCCCATATAGCTCCAGCCTCTTTGCTAGTACTCCGTCCTCCCCTTCCAATCCCTTCCACAGCCTTCTCCAATTCCTGGGAATGAATTCTCCTGGTTATCACTTCCTCACAGGACTGACTGCTCTCCTCCTCCAGGTTCTTTTGTAACTCTGACCTTGCTTCAGGTTTATGCTGACCTTGCTTCATGTTTGTTGGCAGGGACAAGAGCCAAATGCTTGTTCTCCCAAGCTTTGAATCATATCCCGACATTCTGTTGCAAGAGTTAATAATGTGGCTGAGAGCCTGTTGCTGTTGTACCCATTCTGCTACAGAGAGCTGAATGCTGTGTTTGTTGCTGTGTTAACTTTTATATGGAAATGCCAAGATGAATGCTGTGAATCTGACTGCAGCAACAGCTGAATGGGCGATATATTTGTATGAGTGTATATGTGAAGAATAAGTGCAAACCATCACCACCCATATATACCTTTTTCAGACTATTCATATGGCAGTCTTGCCTCTCAAAAGGGGTCTGGGCCCTTCTTCATTCTCTTGTTCCTTGCTACTGGGCTTGGCCAGGACTTGAGGATACAGGATGTTGGTAGATTGCTGCCCTGAAATGCCTTGGCCTCTTCCACACTTACAAAACTCTCCATGAAAACTTAAAGACTATAGCATTCTCTTACACTGATAGCACCTTTCTAAAAATGGCTAAGATGTGAGAAGTGGCGTGCCTATTACAGAGAACATGAAGCATACAGGGAAAAGGGGAAGACATGGATCACTCCACCCACTTGGAAGCCTCTGGAAGTCAGCTCCACCAGGCACAGTTTATCTTTCCCATGATAGCCTTCTCTCTTGTGTTTCCCTTTGCTATTTGTTCTGCCCGTCCTTGTGGTCAAGCAAATGTCCTTCTGTTCATTCTCTTTTACCTGCTGTTTCCCTCACTAGCTCTGTGTCCTCCTCACATCTCATTTGGTCCCATGTGCAGTTTGGAGAAGTGATCTCCATGGTTTTGAAGAAACCATGCATAGCAACCAAATCTGTGACACATAATATCAAGTAGGATAACAAATGTAAAAAAGGTGTATGTGCATTGCATATTTGTGTCTTCAACATTTGAGTATTTTTTGCTAGATAATATGACCATTATCTATTTTTACCTCAGGAGGGGAGTATTGAATGCCAACAATGATTTGAAACAACCGTTTTATTAGGAACCAGAAAAAGGCTATCTGCTTTTGGCTGGCAATTTATTTTGATGAGAAAAAATAGAAAGACAGACAGTCTCCCAAATCTAGACTTTTTTAAAAAAAAAATGCAGGTATTTGTGAGTTAGCGATATTTAGTGGTGGCCCACAGAAAAAAGGCTTGCCAAGACTTTGTGAGCACAAGGAAGATTTGGAGGCAGAAAATGGCTCCTGGCAGACAGCCATGTTGGCACATGAATTCACTTTGGAAAGACAGTAACAACTTCATATCCTTCAGGTGGAGTGACCCGTTCCCGTGCGTGCGTCTCACAGTAGATGCAATCCTCCACAAAGAAGTGCCCTTTCTGTTTAAGGTTCACTCCACAGTCGCTGCACGTATAGCACTCTGGATGGAGATGCTTTTCCCGGAGCTTTACAAATACACCCCTGGGAAGAAAACAGGACCAGTGTCAAAGCTGAGAAAGGCTACACATTTGCACATTCACATATACTTCCTTACACTACAAAAGAAGAAGAACAAACCAGCTGAAAGCATTTCATATTTCTTGCCAGTGTCTATACAAAAGAAACACTCCAGCATAGCCATACCTGGGCTTCCGTTACCGTAATTAAAAATGTTACTCCTTTATATCAGTGGTCCTTGGACCACCAGTAGTCCACCAAGAACTAAAATATAATCCACGGCTTCACCGTTACTACATCATTGCAATGAGAGTGACTGGTCTTGCAAAACCCTCTTATAGTGCCAAGGCAACAAAGATGTCGGGAGGGGAGAGGCTGACTACTCACAAAAGATTACTACTAATACATCAGCTCCAGCTCCCCATGCAAGGACACAAGAGGAGCCTCCCACAAGGATGGTAAAACAAAAACAAAAAAAATCTGGGTAACATCCTTGCAGATGGCCAATTCTCTCACGCCATAAGCGACTTGCAGTTTCTCAAGTCATTCCTGAAACGGAAAAAAAGCTCTAGATTATTAAATATGGTTTTCTGTGGGTGAACAGATGGCAACTACTGGATGGCATATGTTCTGTATCAGAAACTAGAGCTGATGTGGTCTATCCAGTGCAATTTTCTGAATCAGTACCCCAAATAACCGAATCTAAAGTTGACCAAAAACTGATTCATAATCCTTTTGGTACTAATTTTGGAGAGTGGTCCCTGGTCAAGAGGTTGCTGGTCAAAAAAAGCTCACCATCTGCTCGCCCACAGAAAACCATATTTAATAAGCTAGAGCTGATGTGGTCCATCCAATGCAATTTTCTGAATCAGCACCCCAAATAACCCCAGGAACACAGTGACCCCACTTACAGGTGCCTTGTTATTGTGCCTTTCTTGGGTAATCAGCCCAGTCAGCCCCTCCCCTCCCAACTTCCTTATTGCCTTGGCACTATAAGAAGGTTTCACAAGATCGGTCGCTCTCATTGCAACAGTGTAATAACTGTGAGGCCGCAGACCATATTTTAGTTCTTGGTGACCACTGGTGGTCCAAGGACCACAGGTTGGGAACCACTGATCTAGACATTATACTCCTGTTGATGCAGCCTGAAAACACATTGGCCTTTTTATCTGTTGCATCACACTTGACTCACACTTAGCTTTTAGTTGGGTAAGATGCCTAGATCTCTTTCACATATACTGTTTCCAATCCAACCTATATCTGTATATTTCATTTTTATTGCCTACATGTAGTACTGTACATCTCTCCTTGAAATGTATCTTGTTACGTTTGGACCCAGTTCTCTAACCTGTCTTTGTTATTTTATCAATTTCTCTCCAATTTTCTATTTCATCAAGGTCTTTTTGAATTCTGATCCTATCTTCCAGCGTAGCAGTCATCGCACCCAGTATTATATCATCCAAACTTGACAAAGATTCCCTCTACTTTGCCATCTAAGTTACTGAATTTCCCTAGGCAAATTCCAGTTAGTGCATACATTGCTACTTACACAATGCCAGACCCACATTTATCACAAATGGGCAGCTTCTGCGCATTTCCAATTGACGATGCTATTTTAGTTGTCGGAGCTTTTACACTTCTAAATCCAGAAGGCTTGTCTCCTGTAAAAATGTAAAAATATAAAAGTAATTATTTTTATCTGAAACTATGCCTGGAGCATGGAAGTAGAACTATAACTCAGCCTACTGCTGCAATATCATCTGATATTTCATTTAGCAGAAATACTTTATCAATGTTGCTGAGAGGTGTCCAGTCCAAAATACACATATTGAAAATCCCTGTGTGTGAAATAGCCTACTTTAAAATAGGGTGAATAAAATAATTTTGTTATTTTTGACATTTCCGAGAAGACAGAGAGGAAAAGAAACTGCTGTGTTTTATAATAGAGTGTTTACGCATGTATAAAAACCTAAGGATCATCCCAAAGATTTTGAGAAATTTGGAGAAGATAATTTCAAGGTGGTTGAGGGATTGAGTGGAAAACTAAAGAGAACTATTAATCTGCTTCAGGATTCTAAGAATGTATAAACACCTGCCTCCAACTGTTTCAGGCTTTGAATTTAATTAACAGGAGCCCGCAGTGGCGCAATGGGTTAAACCAATGGTTCTCAACCTGTGGGTCTCAGCTGTTTTGGCCTTCAACTCCTAGAAATCCTAACAGCTGGTAAATTGGCTGGGATTTCTGGGAGTTGTAGGCCAAAACACCTGGGGACCCACAGTGGTACAATGGGTTAAATCCTTGTGCCAGCTGAACTTCTGACCTGAAGGTCGGTGGTTCGAATCCGGGGAGCAGGGTGAGCTCCCATCTGTCAGTTCCACCTTCCCATGTGGGGACATGAGAGAAGCCTCCCCCAGGATGGTAAAACATCTGGGCGTCCCTGGCCAACGTCCTTGCAGATGGCCAATTCTCTCATACTTGAAGTTTCTGAAGTCACTCCTGACATACAAAAATAATAATAATAATTTAAAAAAAACTTTATTTCTATTCCACTCTATCTCCCCAAAGGGACTCGGGGTGGATTCCAAACATAAAAGGTAAACATTCAATGCCCGAATACAACAATACATCCATACTAACAAAATGTATACAACCCAACATATAAGTACGAATTATAACTTAACAAACTAAAATTAAATAAAAAGTACAGCCTGTTATACATAAGACAAAACATAAAAAAGACAAAAAAGCTTAACTAGTTAGTTAAAGCAAAGGAAGGGAAACACACCTGACTCCCAGCAATAAGGGAGAACTGCTAAGAGTTCCCAGACAGTATTGCCAGGATCACTATTATGCGCTCTCGTCACCAAGTTACTTGCTTCATCTGGCTGGGGGGGGGGGGGGGCACAATAGAGGGCAAGTTCTTAAGGATTATCATCCAGGACCACAGTGTATGTCCTTGAAGATTAGTGTAGCTTCATGATATCTGGATTAGAGAAAGGCCCATCCAGATCAAAAGCTATGACATCTTAGCATAATATCATAAAGCAACAAAAGATATATGCAGGAGGACGCTTACCCCTTTCTTCAGATTCTAAAATGTCTTGCAGCACCAAGAATGAGGCTGATTGCCGGGGCGGCTCACTGGAGTCTTGGTTCTCCTGTAGCATCTTATAAACTTCAGAGTCTTTTTCAATCCTTAAGTTAGTAGAGGGCTGGTTGGGTTGGTCCGAGCTGCACAAAATTAAGACAAACATATTCAACGGACAGAACAAAAGATCTATTGATTGGTTTACTTTATTTATATCTTACCTGTCTCCCTGTGGGGCCTCAAAGAGTGATATTGCAAGAGCATCTGATTCAATAAGCATATCTAGTTCAGACATTTAGATTACAGTAAAGGACACGTACACACGAGAACCATTGACCCCCAGTCCATGATTGTAGTTTAAAAAGTCTCATTTGGGTGAAAGAAAGCAGGATATGAATACTATTACTAAAATGTTTAAAGTATTATAGAGCAAAACAGAATTTCTAGGCACTATTTACAAAGTGCAAATATTTTATACTAGCATTTTGGGTATCTTTTGATTGTTGAATTACTTGGCTCTCTATAATAAGGCCTAGATTGATTGATTATACTAATATGCCTTCATTGAAAAATGATGGTAAA